TAGCAAGAAGCTAGTAGGTTGGAGGCCATCGCTACTAGGGTGGAGGCTGCTCATATAGAGGTCTCGACATGAATGTTTGATCGTCTATGAAGGTTTTCTTTTTATGTTGGTCCATGCATGTTTTGTGTTGAGTCTAGAAACATCCTGACATCCGGTATCCCATCCCGCTGGCTGCTGAGGCCATGTCTGAGGTTCATGAACTCAAGGCGCAGGCAGCTGGTGGGTTTCACACAAAGGTCGATCATCGGATTGGTGAGGCTTTGTGAATTCTTGTTGCAGATGGATGGATACAGTATATTCAGCAAACAGTGCATCCGCAGTTTTCCTTCCTTCCTTCCTTCCTTCCTTCCTTCGTTCGCGCTCGCTCGCTCGCTCCGTTTTGGTATATATTGACTCTTGGGGGTCTTTTCCTGTGATCTTCCACGATCTTCCAAGTTTCCGAAGCTCCTTTTTTCTTGACAATGACCTTTCGACAAGGCTCGCTTCAACAGTCTGAAGATGGCGGAGGTCGAAAGTCAATGCAAGAGTGCTGAGGACTGGACGGCGGAAAGCTTGATGAGGGCCATAAGGAACCTAATAGCAATGGTCTCCAACCTTTTAGCGATGACATCCAACCTAAACCTAATAGCGATGGCCTCTAACCTAGCAGTGATGGCCTCCAACCTAATAGCGATGGCCTCCAACCTAATAGCTTTATGAGGGCCACAAGGTTCATGTGCTCATATGGCTGGTCTCAAAGTTGCAATCTCAGCGTGACCAGGAGACTCTAACACAGCCACGCATGAAGCCCGTCCATTGCCGGTTTTCTGGTTCTTCGACACAACCTGTGAAACGAGAAGCTGCTAATTGCAATCCGATAGCAATTTTGCAAATTCAATAATCAGCTATGACTGTTTTCCCTTGGCTTCAATTCCACCTCCAGCGGCTTCTCAGTCAAATGTGGCAGGAGAGACTGAATGCAGAACGAGGAAAGGTCGAACAGGCATGTCACGAAGCCCTGACGAAATCAATGTCTGTGTGGTTTCCAACACAGCGCCAAGACACTTTTTGCATCTTTTTGTACCACTGTGTTACTGTCCATGATAGAGCAGAGTGCAAGTTATATTTGTATGCTGGTGCAATGTATGCGCGTAGTGAGTGACCATTATTAGTTACATATGAGCATCCGGCAAAACTTCTGCACCTGTACTTTGGTCATGAGCCGCATTGTGTAATTATGTAAGAGTTTCTGAATTGGTCAAAACTTTGCAAGACCGATAGGGGCCAACCCTATAGCGATATCCTTTCTTGATTGAAACTAGCTTCTTGACTCCATTTCAAAACACTGGAACCAGATAGGGGCCAACCTAAAATAGTCTTGGGGGGAGACCAAGAAGTCTTACCCGCCGCTCAAATGTATAAAAAATATGTTACGAAAGCCAGCCAATAGGCTAGGCTTGAGCTTTTAGAGCGAACGAAGTGAGGGACATTTTGAGAGGGTGAACCCAGAGCTTGATGGGGGAGAGCGCTCCAAAGCGAGGGTCAGAAAAGCAGTGAACATGGGGTCTGGTGATGCGAGTGATGCAATGGACGCCAAGTAGTGCATCGTTAGCATCATGAACGGCTTTGGAGGCTATTTGGACAATGGGCATTGAGCAGTCGAGTGGAGACAGGGACCCACGTACTGAGCAGACCGCAGCCGCATGTAGGATACGAGTCCCCAAAACAGCCCGCAACTCGCGAAATCCATAGAGAGCCGAAAGTGGCATGAGTTCAAGTCCTTGAATTTGGATTGAGTTTCGGTGGGGATGCCTGCGAGGTTGACTACATATCTGCATAGGGCTCCTCCCCTAGCAAAAACTATACTTGCACCATGTCCTCGGTCGAGTGGATGCTTCTCGCGGCGCCCACGCGCACCGAACGTTTTTTCCGGCTTGCCGGTGCAGATAGATAGATAGATAGATAGATACACAGATAGTCAGATAGATAGATACATAGATAGATAGATATAGAGATAGAGATAGAGATAGAGAGATAGAGAGATAGAGAGGTTGATAGACAGATAGACAGGTAGATAGATAGATTCTATATGCTACTGACGCATGACGTCGCCTTTTTTGCTGGCGGCCCTGGCCGAATCCAGTCAGCCTGGGTCCACGGCCAAAAGATCTGCACGCGCAGGCGCCAAAGTCAAGGCCTCTGAGTGAGAAAGGCGCAGGGTTGATAAGAAAGAGAAGAATAAAGAATGTGTTTGGATCGTTTATTAAAGGCCTCTTTGAAGGGAAAAGATTGTGTTTTGGATCGAGCCAGAACATGACTCACTCAAGTCCAGGCATGTGCATCGATATACTCACTCCTTTACTAGCCCAAGCTACTCCCGCTGGACCCCCCTTCTGCGCCGCGGGATCAAACGTCCGTGTCCCAGCTAAGACGTGCCCGTTCACTCTTCCAAATCAAAAAATGCCGCTTTTCGACGCGCCGCAGTATGCACTGAAAACTTCAAACACTCCAAATGTAAGAAACACATAATTGCTTCTTTTCAGTCGCGCGCCGTACTCGCGCGCGCACGGCGACGCCGACGATGGAGAAGGTCTTTCTGCGCGCGCGCGTGGTATCCCACCACTCAAACTCAGACGGTGTTTCCCTTCGCTAACGCTGATGTCGCCTTCCAACTTCCATAAGATGCATACCTTCCTGCGTGTGACAAACGCGTGCCATTGCCTTGTGATGATGACCTACACCAACCTACAACGTATCGCACTTCTCTTTCACTACTTCTTTCATACCAAACCGCCCGGTTTGCTTCTCTGCTCCCTCCATCACCATTACATACGCCCCCCGCATCCGCGGCACCCCTGACTCGCAGAGCTCATGGCTTCAGACTTGGCCTCTCTGATGCTCATGGTGCAGCTCAGATGTCAGGCGAAGACTATGTTTGGGCCTCTGCGCGCTCCTCTTTTGCGGGGTCTCACCGTCCCCTCTTTTGCTGCGCTGGCGCTGGCCGGCCTTTGCCTGCTGCCTCATACTCCTTCCTGCTGGGTGCTGGGCGCGCTAGCCGCCCGAGCTTTTTTGGGCGCGTCCAAGCCATGGAACCTGCAACTGCTGGTGATGTCAACCGAACAAGGCAAAGAGCTACCCGGCCATTGCTGCCCAGAGGGTAGACCGATTTTGGAGGTCACCGACCGCTTGAGAGACCGCTATTGGGAAGTGTTTTTGTCCTGGCTTCGAAGTGAAATGATTGATCCCTGTATGTGGAGGAGATAAGCCACATCCTGACTCGCAACGGCAGAGCTGGCTGTTTATCGCTGGTCGCAACCTGTTGGTTGTGGGACTGAGTCCTGTTAGCTGGTGCACTTTGTTTGAGTTGGGCGAGCGCTCAGGAATTCCTTTCTGCATCAACGGCAGATCTTCTACAAGCTCGGGGTGCGGACGAAACCACCATTCTTGTAGTTTAGCTCTCTTGCAGGTGGTGGATCTTGCCTTGCTAAAGCGGCCGCTCATGAGAAGTTGTGGAGACAGTCGGGCCAGACTTTAAGGCAGAGGTTTCGCGATGTCTCGACCCGACCTACTACGTGTTGGTGGCGCCGCATTGCGCCTACAGGTGACGGAGAATAGCAAATACATTATAAGCAAAGGACGTTGGTGGACTATCTTCAAGAGACTTCGGCGTTGCTCTTTTTGACTCGGGACAGAGTTTTGTAATTTCCTGGCTTGGTTCCACAGGTGCTCTGCTTGGCTTTTCGGTTTGAGCAATTGTCATTGAGTCATTGCGTGTGGCGATATCTCTACCAACAGGAAGAACTTGGGTCGAGCGGGAACTATGGGCATGTTGCAGCCAGTTGAACGAAGGCTGCCTGTGATCTGCCAGACAATGGAAAAGTCCGCGATGACGTTGAATAGTTGCACCTTAATTTAACTAGGACCTGAAACGCCGACTTCAAGCTTCTACCCAAAGACCCTCCCTCCCAACAACCTGTTGGTAGAGGGGCATGTTGTAGCCAGTTGAACGAAGGCTGCCTGTGATCTGCCAGAGGATGCAAAAGTCCGCCATGACGTTGAATAGTTATATACCTATACATGTACATATTGTACATACATATTCGGTGTATATCTTAAGTTTATATATATATATATATAATATTCACAGGGGAAAGCAAAAAACGTAGTTTTGTCAGGCCTAATAATATGTATTTCTTCGCCGTTTCCCATTGTGTGAGGCCCGCGCAGAGTGCGAGTCGTTGAAGACACAGGCAACGTTTATGCATTCTTTGAAGTTTCACTGGTGCCAGCAAGGAGGCTCTCAAGTCAGACGGAACAGTTGGATGCTAAAATCGGTTGTGTTTTTGGGCACTTTTTGACCTAGCTAAAAGAGTGCCCAAAGCCACGCTGCAGGCTCTTCTGCAGGACGAACTGTTCAGCTCGCCGGGGGCTTGGGGAGATCTGATACCTGCCGGACTGTTGGTCCCACACTGCTGAGCTGTTTGCTTTCAGCCACGTTCCATTTGGGGTTTCGGCACATGGGTGCATATCCAGGAAGCACCAACAGGTTCTATGCCAAAGCCTACAGCATCGCTTGAACTTCTTCATCTTCAGCCTTGCATGCTCTCGGAAAAGTGATTGAACAGATTCTGCTCTTTGGCAATCTGGTGCTAAGGACCTCTGGAGTCAAGGCCGGGCATGGTGCTATGTTGGGGAACTGGTTCGCGGAACGTGTTTGAACAAATGGAGATATGGGTTTTGTTCACTCCAATACATACCCAGGTTGAGACAGCAGGAGATTTGCAGAAAGTTTCTCCTTGACGATTTTGTTGTCAAGCGCCTTTATCCTTCAATGAATCCAGGCAGACACGGGAGCAGGCCTGTGTGGTGAGTGGATTTTTGCGTTTTGTCGAAGGGCTGGGTCACGCGTGTTGGAAGAACCAGGAAAGCGAACTAGGCAAGATTATACTCATGGATATCTCATCACACATGTCATCAATGTCGTGTAGGTCAAACTCATCGCCGATCTTTCCTTTCTAGTGAGGGGATTTGTTTGTTCTTTTCGTCTTGAGTGGTTGTTGCAGGCGGCGGAGCTGGGAACTCAGCAGTCCTGTTGTCGTGTCGCCTTGCAGGATCCAACCTGAGTTCAGGTTGGCTCGGCATAGCCCCTTTGCTGTGCCTAGATGTTATCATTTTCATCCATGATAGCAATTGTCCTTCCACTTTCTTCCTGGTTGGTGGTTTTGGAGGTATACCAAGTGGACGGTGTGGCATTTTTTGGCTGCAGCTGAGACACAATATTGAAGATGTGCTTCAAGAACAATACCACGATTCTCGTACTATAAATGTTTGCTCACTCTGTCGGACTTCCATAAACTGGATATTCCGCAAGCATCCAAACGTAGCATCCAAAGAAAGCTGGGGGTTCACATGGGGGTAATTGGCAGAATGTGGCAGTTAACTAGTAGCAAGAAGCTAGTAGGTTGGAGGCCATCGCTACTAGCGGCAAGAAGCTTGAGATTGGAAACAAGACGACACACCAACGGGAACTCGGGCAGACTGCCCGGACGGCCTGATGGATGGGCAACGGTTTGAAGCCTCGGGTTCGGAAGCTGCCTCTAGAGGAACACTGACTTGGATTCTTTCTTAGTGTTTTGCCAAAACCTAACACACAAAGACACCATTGGCAAAAAGGGAGGATGACCATCCTTAGCTGCTACATGCCTTTTTGCAGCAATAGTCAGAAGCCGCAGCGCTCTTGATCGAGTTAGCAGAAGATGTTCTTTCATGTTCTTGCTTCATTTGCAGCAGTACATCCAGGAGCATGGACTCCGTCGAAATCAGCCAGTCTTTGCTCGACGCCATCGACCGTTCGGGACTCAGAGTTTGAACTTGTTACTAGCAGCGATGCCAGGAGCCCCTAGTAGCTTCTTGTTACTAGTAGC